GTTCATGTACATAATTGGGCGCGTACGTCCTTTGTGGGCTCCCTGATTTACAGACGAGGCCTACACCTTCTAAAAGAAGCAGGGGTGTTTCTAAGACGCCCTCCCCCCCTCCCCCGCACCCCCCCCGCTGCGCGCGGCCGAGGGGGGTTGATGTCCGTGCCGGCGGCGCGCGCCCTGGAGGGAAGTTCGACGTCTGTGCCGACGACGACGACGACGACGACGACGACGACGACGACGACGACGACGACGACGACTGGGGGGCGGAGGGGAAGAGCCACGAAAGGCAGAGACGATGACGACGACGACGACGACGACGACGACGACGACGACGACGACGACGACGACGACGACGACGACGACGACGACGACGACTGGGGGGAGGAGGGGAAGAGCCACGAAGGGCAGAGACGACGACGACGACGACGACGAAAACGACGACGACGACGACGACGACGACGACGACGACGACGACGACGACGACGACGACGACGACTGGGGGGAGGAGGGGAAGAGCCACGAAGGGCAGAGACGACGACGACGACGACCACGAAGACGACGACGACGAAGAGCCACGAAGAGGAGGAGGGGGCGACGACGAAGACGACGTCGACGACGAGTTTTCGGGCCTCTTCGTCGGTTCTCGGCGGTTCTCTGGCGTCGGGGTGCGTGCCAGCGGCTGCGCCTCGCCGAACGCGTCCTGGGGCCGCCCGGATAGTCCAGGACGGCTGCCGGAGAGCCGAGCAATGGCCCCCAAACCACTGCGCGTCGAGAGGGGGCGGGCCTTCTCAGAAGGTTCGGAAGGCCTCGGGCCTTCTGAGAGGTTTTCCAAGCGTCGCGCGAAGACAGCGAAGACTTCTCAGAAGGTTCGGGGGCTTCTGATATGCCCCGCCGCCCTTGAGAAGGTCTGCCCCTTCTCATTTCCTCCCAGCCGCCCCGCCGACTGTTCATGGGAGCCTGGGGCGGCGACATCGAAATCAACTTCGGATCGCATGTGGCCCTTCTCCTGCTCCTCATCGCCCTCCTGGGCGGTGGGGGTCGTAACCCAGAGCTCCGCCAAGGCAGGGATCCCATGGGATGGGCATCCAAGCCCGTGAGGGAGCACGCGCGCCATGCATGAGTGAGGGAGGGGGAGGCGGGAGGCGAGGGAGGAAGGGACGAAGGAGGAGGGAGGAGGGGGAGCGCGCCGAGGGGGGGGGGGGTTGTCGGGGAACGAAGCAGGACATAACCATGAACTTTTGGAGGTCCGCGCGGATTCCTCGGATCGGCGCCTGGAGTCACTGGGCGGTGCCTCCTGCGCCGCCCCTGGCGCGCTCCTGCCCGCCAGGGAGGGGGTCCAGGGCGGATCCGAGAAGTCCGCGCGGATTTCCAAAAATCAGTGTTTATAGATCGAAGACTCCTGCGGCGAATCACCTCCGCCCCCCGCCTTTTGGAATCGCCCACGTTGCCGAACGTTGTGGCCAGAGCTCTGCCAAGCCATCCGACCATGTGTTCCCCCAGCCGTTGTGGAAACCCTTCGGGGGACACGCGGGGGAGGATGGCGGGGAAGATCAGGAGGAGGAGGAGGAGGAGGAGGAGGAGGGAGGAAGAGGAGGAGGAGGAGGAGGAGGAGGAGGAGGAGGAGGGGGCATCTTGGGAGCCTCTGGGGACACTCCTGGGGCCTCCTGGGAGCTTCCTGGGAGCCTCTTGGAGGCATCTTGGGGGCCTCCTTGAGCCTCTTGGGTGCCTTCGGAGGCTTCTCAGGGGCTGCTTTGGCTGTCTTAGGGCATTCCTGGCCCGCCTGACGCCGTCGGAAGCCGGCGTGGGGGCTTCTCTTGCCCGGCTTGGGACTTTCGTGGGGTGTTTCCAGGGCCGTCTTGGCGGCCAACGAGGGCGTCTTGGAGGCCTCGTGGGCCGTGCTGGGGCCCTGTTGGGGCCGTCCTGGGGTCCTATGCTCGGGGGCCGTTCTGGGGCCATCTTGGAGGCCTCCGGGGCGATCTTGGGGCGATCTTGGGGGCCTCTTTCAGAGCCCTGAATCATCAGGGGGAACTTGGGTCAGGGCAAACTTGGGTTCGTTTTTCGGGATTCCGAGCCCGAGTTACATCGGGCCCGAGCTTCCCCAGATAATTCGTGCGTCCAAAGCCCCAAATCATCAGGGGTAGCTCGGGTCAGGGCTAACTCGGGTTTGTTTTTCGGGGATCCAAATCCGAGTTACCTCAGACCCGAGTTACCCCGGATAATTCGGGCGCCCAACTCTTGGGCCGTCTCGGGCCGTCGGTAGGCCGAAAAGAAGCAAGCGCCCAAATCCTTGAAGCACCACCGGCAAAACACTGATTTGGGCCTACTCTTGGGGGCCTCCTAGACCGTCTTGGAGATATCTTGGTGGCCTCCTGGGCTGTCTTGGGCTATCTTCGAGCCATCTTGGGCTGTCTTAGGGCGTTCTGGCCCGACTGATGCCGTCGGAAGCCGTCTTGGGGGCCTCTCTGAGCCGACTTGGGGCCCTCTTGGGATGCTCCAGGGCCGTCTTGGAGGCTATCGAGGGCGTCTTCGAGGCCTCTTGGGCCGTCTTGGGGCCCTCTTGGGGCCGTCCTGGGGGCTTCTGGGGCCGTTCTGGGGCCATCTTGGAGGCCTCCGGGGCGATCTTGGGCCGATCTTGGGGGCCTCTTGGGCCGTCTCGAGCCGTCGGGAGGCCATAAAGAAGAATCGCCCAAATCTTTCAAATTGCAAAGTGAAGTTCATGCTTTTGGCCTCTCCAGACCTTCCTGGATGACCTCTGGGAGATCCCGTGGGCCGTCTTGGAGGCCTCTTGTAAGCCTCCGGGGCCGCCTTGGGCCGTCTTGGAGGCTTCTGGGGCGAACTTGAGGGCATCCTGGGCTCTCTGTCTTGGAGCCATCTGGACCAGGACAATTTTGTGCAACCAGGGCTGCCGCAGGGCTGGCGGGACTGCAGAAGCCCACAGGGGGAGTTCTTCGGGAAGAGGACCCACACCAAGCCGTGTGGCGTTCAAGACGCCGGGCGCCACTGCGGCGAGACCAATTCAGAGGCGACGATAGGGGCGAATAGCCCAGGGGCGAGCATTACATGTATTATGGTGCGCCGATGATCTATGTCTTCGAAACGGCTCCCAGGCGAATACGTGTAATGCCCACCCCTGGGCTATTCGCCCCTATCGTCGCCGCCGACCGATGGGGGCGGCGGATCTGAGGGCCTTCGGTCTATCGCGCCGCCGTGCCTGGGTTGTGGGTATGAAGCCTGTTGGATGTTCGCTGGGACCTCGCGGGAGGCCTCTCGGTGGCCTCTTGCAGGTTTTTTGGAAGGCCTTCTTTGGGGCCTGTTGGAGCCTCTCTTGGGCCTCCTGGGGGCGCGCGGCCCTCCGAACGTCAACGCGCTTATCTTATTTTGGTGTCTCCCCCTCCTCCTCCCCCTCCTCCTCCCCCTTTTCCTCCTCCTCCTTCTCCTCCTCCTCCTCCTCCTCCTCCTCCTCCTCCTCCTCCCCCTCCTCCTCCTCCTCCTCCTCCCCCTCCTCCTCCTCCTCCTCCTCCTCCCCTCCTCCTCCTCCTCTCCTCCTCCTCCTCCTCCTCCTCCTCCTCCTCCTCCTCTCCTCCTCCTCCTCCTCCTCCTCCCCTCCCCCTCCCCCTCCCCCTCCTGCTCCTCCTCCTCCTCCTCCTCCTCCTTCTCCTCCTCGCCCAGTGCTCCGACGGTGTGATTTTTCCATTCCAGGCGTTTCTCCTACACGTCGGCCTCCGGGTCCCTTTCTCGAGCCCCAGGGCCATCGGTGCCGGGTCGGGAGCGCCAGATCACCTTCGGGGAGGTGGTCGGGAGTTTTTGGGGCCGCGCACTGAAAAACCACATCGTCGGCTGTCTCAGCAGGGGCCGCGCACTGAAACAATCACATCGTCGGATGTCTTGGCAGACGTGCAGCTCTGGACAGGTTGCAGCGGATGGGAAGGTGCCGATCAGGCTACAGTCAGCCACGATAGTTAAGGATGGGGCAACTTTCCAAGGCTACCCTTGCATCCTTGCCCCTTCGGTATTCGGCATCCTTCGGCATCCTGCTGCGCTCCGCACGGAAAACGTCAACATGGCGTTCCAAGGCCCTTGCATCCTTACCGCGCATCCTTCCTTTCCCGGTCGAGTGTAAGGGGCAAGGTGACCCCCACCTGGAGGGGGAAATGGGCTTTGTCGAGGAATTGCCCCAGACCACCTCCGCCCATAAGGCTGGTGGGATTCCCCGAGAAAAAGACATGATGAAGATATGTGAGTGTGTGTGTGTGTGTGTTTGGCTGCCGTGGTCTCGAGAATCGGCCAGGCGTGTCATTGTTCGCGGCATGTCGGCAATGGGCGTTTTCCAAGGCCCTGGCACCCTTACCGCGCATCCTCATGATCCTGGTCGAGTGTACCTTCTGTCTTCGCCTCGCTGGGGCCTCCTCCTCCTCCTCCTCCTCCTCCTCCTCTGGGGCCTCCCGGGAGGCGCCCCGTCGCCTTGGTGGGTCCGAGCGCGCCCCGGGAGAGCGGCCCCGACGGTTTCCCCAGGCAGTGCTTGCACGTAGGGCCAAGCCGGGCCTGGCCCTCTACAGGGAGGAATATTCAACAAACAGTCAAAAGATAGCCTGGGGACGATTGTTTGACTAATTTTGAGAGGCCCCGATGGTTTCCCCAAGCAGTGCTTGCACGTAGGGTCAATTCGGGCCTGGCCCTCTACAGGAGGAATATTCAACAAATAGTCAAACGATCGCCCGGGGAAGATGTTTTGACAAATTTGGAGTGCTTCAGGGTTGTTTGACTACTTCTTCTTTCTCGTCCAAGCTCCCCCTGTAGGGGGACAGGCCCGACTTAAATGGGGGGGTTCTTGCGCCGCAGTTGGGCGCCTCGTGGGCGTCCCGTGAGGCCTCTCGGGAACCCTTCTCATCCTCGAAGGAGGAGGGATGAGAGGGGAGGAGGCGGAGGAGGGTGCGGAGGAGGAGCGAAGAAGGAGGCGGAGGCGGAGGAGGAGCGAAGAGGGAGGCCTTCTCAGGAGACCCCCCATGGCACCGCTCCCCTCTGCGCGCGGCCAGCGTCAGTGCTGGTGCCGACGTCCTGTTGGACTTGGACTCCCGCGATCTCTCGTCGCGGATCGCTGCGAACTGCTCCATTCGGCGACTACAACGGGTGTGGTTACGCCAGGGTGTGGTTTGCGATCGGCGCCGTGGGGGCCAGGAGGGCACGACACTGTTCTCGTCGGGCCTCCTCGGGGCGCGGGCGAGAACTCTATCGAGGTACCCGCCCGCCCCTCATGGTGCTTCCAGGGTGCCGATTGCAAACCACACCCTTTGCATTCATCCTTTGGAGTCGCCGATCCATGGCCACGGTCTTCGGTCCCGACAGCAGGGCCTGGCCCACAACGGTTGCGCAGGCGAAGAACATCCAGCTTGCGTACTGCAAGATGAGGGGCTATAGCAGCGCCACCTGCGAGGGCGTCATCGACGAGCACTTCAAAAACCATTCTCTCACGCAGGGCTCCGACTTCCTTACGATGACGCCGCAATTCTGCGAGGAGTCGGTCTTGCTGCTGTCGCTCGACCAGATCCATTCGGGAAGCAGTCCGGCGAACGCAACATTCCTCCTGGAGAGCAGCGCTCGCTCGACGCTGGGAGGCGACGGCCAGCTCTGGCCCTTTACGACCTCCAACTGCACTGACACCTGCGCCGACGGCAAGCAAATGGTGTACCACTCGTGGTCCGTTGGCTGCGTCTGCGCGTGGTGCGAGACGAACACCTGGGGGCAGGCCAGGGCTCGACCTAAACAGGGCTGTGTTGGCGATCTCGTGGGCCGTTCTCGTCCTGGCATCGTTCTGAAGCAAACGCGGAACGACAACAGAACGAGGGAAAGCAGCGCCACAACGCGAGCGAAAAACGCCGTTTAGGTCGAGCCGGGCAAAGAGGTGCAGCTCTGCAGGAGGAAGTGCTACGTGGGCGACAGCCCCGGGTGCGCCAAGTGCTTCCCCAGCAGCGCCGCGGTCTCTGTGCTCACGCCGGGCGGTGCGGTGGCCACCCGGGCCATGGAGGACCGGGCCAAATGGGGGGTGTCCTAAATTGGGGCTGAAGAACAGGGCCCTGAGGGCCCCTCTTGGGCCCCTCATGTCTTCAGAAGCGGCCCGATGGGCCCCTTCAGGGCTCTTTTCTTCACCCCTCCTATTTCGGTCGCTCCCCACCACCACCCGCTCGAGAGGACCTCCGCGTGGGCGACTTTGTGCAGACTGCGGGGGGCTTCAGCAAGGTCCCGCCACGAAAGGAACGGGTCCTGAGGGAAACGGGCCCTGAGGTGGTTCTCGGTGTTCGGCCTCGCCCGGGGGCCTTCAAGAAGTACTTCGGGAGGAAGCGCTGGTCGGGGGGGGATCGGGTAAGGCTTCGGCGCGAGGTGCTGAGACCGCCCTGGACTACTCTCGTCGATCGAAAACATGGATCAAGGGGGCGTGGATTAGCGACTGGTCCCGTTTGCATGGGAAATCGCTGATTTCCGCCGCCGAGCGAGGCGGCACCGGCCGCATTTTTGGGAGGTGCGCGCCAAATCCATGGATCGCTAATCTATGTTTGCGCGCCCCCGACACTCGGGAGGCCCTTGAGGCCAGCCGGCACTTCCCAGGAGGGAGGTGTCTGCGCGCAGCCCGAAGCCTCAACTACCAGCAAGGTCTTCGCCTTCATGGACCACGCGTCAGACACGGAAGCCGAATACGTGCAGCTGAAGACGGCGTCCGGTCACGAGCTCTCCCTGACCGCAGACCACATGGTGTACGCCCACGCGGAGCAGACGCCCGTACTGGCCGGAACCATCACCGAGGGCGACTTGTTGTGGACCGTGCCTGGTGCCGGTGCCGGATTCGTCTCGTCGCGGGTCGTTCGGGTGCGGCACGGGCCGGAGCGCGGCATGCACGCGCCCCTCACCGAGGAGGGCTCCGTGGTGGTGAACGGCGTCCTCTCGTCGAGCTACGCGAAGGTCAAGAGCCTGCGGTGGGGATCCACGGTGCTCGTGAGTGGCCACGACCTCAACAGGTACATTGGGGGAGCGAAGAGTGACATAGACATCAGAGTTCGGAGGCCCGCGCGGACTTCTCGGATCGGCGCTGGAGCCCCCTCCCTGGCGCGCGGAGCGCGCCAGGGGCGGCGCCGGAGGCGCCGCCAGGGGGGCCCAGCGCGGATCCGAGACATCCGCGCGGACCTCCGCGTTTGTGTGTTCATATTCCAGATTTCGTAATAAAAGGGAGGGGGTCTCAACCCTTCCAGACGAGAAGTTTTAGACCCCCCCCGTGGGAGAACCCTCCAAAACATCGTCCCCAGACCCCCCCAGGCCCTCCAAGACAGCCTGGAAGAGACCCCCCCCGAAATGAGACCCGCTCCCTTTTATTACGAAATCTGGAGTATCCTCCTTCGTTCCCTTGCACGTGCACGAGCCCCTGCGCCTGGCGTGCAGCCTGGTGCCCCGCCTGTGCGGGAACGGGTGGCACTCGGCGGGGGGGCGCCACGCGTGGACCCAGCTCCTGCTGGACCGGCTCGGCTGGCTGCAGGCCCTGAACGACGGCCACAGCGACCTGCACGCCGCCCTCGTCGCGGAGCCCTCCGTCTTCTCCTGGCTCCGTTGGGGGAGGAGGAGGAGGAGGAGGAGGAGGAGGAGGAGGAGGAGGAGGAGGAGGAGGAGGAGGAGGCGGAGGCGGAGGCGGAGGCGGAGGCGGAGGCGGAGGCGGAGGCGGAGGCGGAGGCGGAGGCGGAGGCGGAGGCGGAGGAGGCGGAGGCGGAGGCGGAGGCGGAGGCGGAGGCGGAGGCGGGAGGAGGAGGGAGGAGGAGGGAGGAGGAGGAGGAGGAGGAGGAGGAGGAGGAGGAGGGAGGAGGAGGGAGGAGGAGGAGGAGGGGAGGAGGAGGGAGGAGGGAGGAGGAGGGAGGAGGAGGGAGGAGGAGGGAGGAGGAGGGAGGAGGAGGGAGGAGGAGGAGGAGGAGGGAGGAGGAGGGAGGAGGAGGGAGGAGGAGGAGGAGGAGGAGGAGGAGGAGGAGGAGGAGGAGCAGGAGGAGCAAGCCTTACCCGTCCACACAGCTGCCGCTGTCCCCTCCAAACAGCGGCCCTGCGAGTGTGCTACATAGCCCCGTCCAGCTCGATTCCAACAATGGCAACTTCTCTTCTCTTTTTGCTCTCTCTCTCGCTCTCTCTCTCTCTCTCTTTCTCTCTTATTTCCCACCCCTCCTATGGTTGGGTATTCGTTTTGGATAGAGCAGTATGGTCGCCCCGTCCTCCTCCTCCTCCTCCCCTCTCCTCGCCTCCTCCTCTCCTGTTTCCTGTGCTCCCCTCTCCTCTTCTCTCATCTGCGCAACTGTCGCCACTTTCGTGGGCTCCTGGGAGGCCCAGCGGAGGTACGTCCCACGCGGACCACCTCGGGACCTCGCCGTGCCTTGGGGGCTGCGATCTGCGCAATTGTCGCCAGTTTCGTGGGCTCCTGGGAGGCCCAGCGGAGGCACCTCCCACGCGGACCAGCTCGGGACCTCGCGGTGCCCTGGGGGCTGCGATCTGCGCAATTATCGCCACGTTCGTGGGCTCCTTGGAGGCCCAGCGGAGGTACGTCCCACGCGGACCACCTCGGGACCTCGCCGCCCCCTGGGGGGTTTGCGATCTGCGCATCTGTCGCCATGTTCGTGGGCTCCTGGGAGGTCCAGCAGAGGTACGTCCCACGCGGACCACCTCGGGACCTCGCCGCCCCCTGGGGGGCTTGCGATCTGCACAACTGTCGCGAGTTTCGTGGGCTCCTGGGTGGCCCAGCGGAGGTACGTCCCACGCGGACCACCTCGGGACCTCGCCGCCCCCCGGGGGACTTGCGATCTTCGCAACTTTCGACACTTTCGTGGGCTCCTGGGAGGCCCAGCGGAGGCACGTCCCACTTGGACCACCTCGGGACCTCGCCGCCCCCTGGTGGGCTTGCGATCTGCGCAACTTTCGCCACTTTCGTGGGCTCCTGGGAGGCCTTGCGGAGGTACGTCCCACGCGGACCACCTCGGGACCTCGCCGCCCCCTGGGGGGCTTGCGATCTGCGCAATTGTCGCGAGTTTCGTGGGCTCCTGGGAGGCCCAGCGGAGGCACGTCCCATTTGGACCACCTTGGGACGTCGCCGCCCCCTCTGGGGCTTGCGATCTGCGCAACTTTCGCCACTTTCGTGGGCTCCTGGGAGCCCAGCGGAGGCACGTCCCACGCGGACCACCTCGGGACCGCGCCGCCCCCTGGGGTGCTTGCGATCTGCGCAATTGTCGCCACTTTCGTGGGCTCCTGGGAGGCCCAGCGGAGGTACGTCCCACGCGGACCACCTCGGGACCTCGCCGCCCCCTGGGGTGCTTGCGATCTGCGCAATTGTCGCCAGTTTCGTGGGCTCCTGGGAGGCCCAGCGGAGGCACGTCCCATTTGGACCACCTCGGGACCTCGCCGCCCCCTGGGGGGCTTGCGATCTGCGCAACTGTCGCCACTTTCGTAGGCTCCTGGGAGGCCCAGCGGAGGCACGTCCCATGCGGACCACCTCGGGACCGCGCCGCCCCCTGGGGGGCTTGCGATCTGCGCAATTATCGCCACTTTCGTGGGCTCCTGGGTGGCCCAGCGGAGGTACGTCCCACGTGGATCATTCGGAGTTGCGTCATACGCGTTTCTGTCAACGCCCCTTTGTTTTTTTTGTTTCTATTTTGTGTTGTTGCCGTTCTGCGCTCTTCTGAAATCACTGTTGGGTGCTCTTCTTGCGCCCTGCGGGTCCTCCAGAATGCCAGTCAGCATGGAGTGGTCCTGAGTAGAATCGGCACATGTATAGAAAAGGGTTGGGTACGGCACAGGTAATTCTCTCTCTCTCTCTCCTTCTCTATCTCTCTCTCTCTCTCTCTCTCCCTCTCTCTCTCTCCGACTGGTTTGTTCGGGTGGTCCACGTGGGAGGAGAAGGAGGAGGAGGAGGAGGAGGAGAGGAGGAGGAGGAGGAGGAGTGGTCCACGTGGCAGTCGCTCTTCAGCCTTCCGAGGCTTGCCAGCTTCGCCCAGATCGGTGCCGCAGTCCTGCTCTCGGCGGTGTTCGGCCCGGCGTCCCGCGTCACCCTGCTGACCCTCGCCGCGGTATCTCTCGCCTCCTCCTCCTCCTCCTCCTCCTCCTCCTCCTCCTCCTCCTCCTCCTCTCCTCCTCCTCCTCCTCTCCTCCTCCTCCTCCTCCTCCCCTCCCCCCCCTCCCCCTCCCCTCCCCCTCCCCCTCCCCCTCCTCCTCCTCCTCCGCCTCCGCCTCCTCCTCCTCCTCCTCCTCCTCCTCCTCGCCGCGGTATCTCTCGCGGCCGCGCGGCGCAAGACTGGGGCCAAGCAGGACTGAGCGCTGCGGTGCGCGGCCGCTTGCTCCGATCGGGCAGAACGAAAGGGGGGGAATGGGAAAGGGGGGTTTACGAAATTTGCTGCATGCAGCTGGTTTCGGCCCCACCGAGGGGCCCCTTCCTCGATACATAACTGCCTCCGGCACCAGGAGGCGCCGGGAAAATCAGCTACGTGAGCTGATTCTCAATCCCCCCCTTTGCTATCCCCCCTTTCGCCCGACCCGAAAGACTGGGGCCAAGCAGGACTGAGCGCTGCGGTGCGCGGCCGCTCGCTCCGAGGAGGGACAAATCCGGTTTCGAAGACGCCTCCTGCTGGCCCTCGCCGCGGGATCTCTCGCGGCCGCGCGGCGCAAGGCTGGGGCCAAGCAGGACTGAGCGCTGCGGTGCGCGGCCGCTCGCTCCGAGGAGGAAAAAAAGCAGGTTTCGAAGGCGCCTGCGGCGAGTCCCCGCTGCCCCATGCCTTAATGGAATCGCCACTGTGGCCGAACGTTGTGGCCAGAGCTCTGCCAAGTTTTCCGACCATGTGTTCCCCCAGCCGTGATGAAAACCCTTCGGGGAACACGCGGGGGATAAAGAAGAAGCAGAGGAGAGGGAGGGCAAATAGGAGGAGGAGGAGGAGGTGGAGGAGGAGGAGGAGGACTCTTGGGGCCTTCCGGGAGCTTCTTGTTGGCCTCTCGGAGGCTTCTGGGCAGCCTCCTTGGAGTTCTGGGTGGCTGCTTTGGCCGTCTTAGCGCATTCCTGGCCCGCCTGACGCCGTCGGAAGCTGGTGTGGGGGCCTCTCTTGACCGGCTTGGGACCCTCGTGGGGTGCTTCCAGGGCCGTCTTGGAGGCCATCGAGGGCGTCTCGGAGGCTTCGTGGGCCGTGCTGGGGCCCTGTTGGGGCCGTCTTGGGGGTCTCCCGTCGTCCTCCCGTCCTGCTCCCGTTCTCCGTTCGTCCTCCTCCCATCTTCCTCTCGTCCTCCTCCTCCTGTCCTCCTGTCTATTCGGAGTCAACGCTGGCTGATATTTTCTCTCCCGGGGCCCCTCACTTTCCCTGGCCGCCACAAAAGGAATTTGTGTATAGAGGATTTCAATATGATCCATTTTGTGGCGCATTACTATGAGACTCCTTCTGTGGAGGGTTACACTGGGACTCCTTCTGTGGAGGATTCCAATACTATTCCTTCTGTGGAGAATTCAGTAGGGTTCCAGTTGTGGGCCATTACAGTTGATTTGTTTCGCGGCGGATTCGGTTTTTTTTTTTTTCTGTTGACGATTACAGTAGATTTTCTTTCCGTTCAGATCTCAAAAGGATTTCGTGCGTGAACGAGTTCAGTAGATTCTTTGATAGGCGATGCCAATCATATCCTTATTGCACGGGATTAGTATAAGATCCTATGTTTGGAAACTTACAGAGGATTTCCTTTTGGGTAAAACACAAGGATTCCTTTCGTCCGTTTCCAAGACAATCATGTTCGAATCGTCCACGCAGCTCCCTGCAGGAACCTTATTGTTGATATTGACCCAGAGACAAAGCATGTGTACGCTTCCATAGGCTTACGCCAGATCCGCCGACCCCTTGATCGACTTGGGGATGTCGTGTTGCTGTCCTGGGGCGTACCTGTGTTGTCTTGTTTCTGGGTGGGCGGGCTCCCTCCGTGGACAGTAGCAATGTCGCGCGCGACGAAAAGAAGGGCACCCTGAAATGCAAGGCATGCAAAAGATACGCATGCGAGCGCCGGTGCCACGATCCATAGAAGTACGATCAACAGGGGTGAGAGCGAGAGGGAGGTCGAGGCCGACGAATGAGGACAGCCAAGCAGGAGAGAGCGGAATAGGAGGAGGAGGCGGGTGAGGGTGGGGGTGAAGCAGAAGAGGGTCATCGGAGGAGGACGAGGAGAAAGAGGAGGGACGATTTGGTTTGGAGGCGTGTGTCCCTGTCTCTGGCGGCCTTTTGGAATGATGTCCGGCACTTCGGACAGCGTGTGCGTCGCCCTGGATGTCGAGTCCGCGTGCAGGTGTCTGGACCGTGCAATTTGTCATGGCCGTCGGTCCAAACCAGCTTGGTAAGTGGATCAAAATCTGAGGGGTGTTTCGCGGGGTCTCCTCGGAGCGCTCTGGAGGCGGGGGCAATGTCATATGGTGGAGGGATACTGCGTGGTCAGTGCGTCTTTCGTGGCTGACTTTCGAAGTGTTCGCCGTGCAGACATGGAGAAATACCTGCGAACACCCGCGCTCGTTGACGGCAGGTGTCGGTCCAAAAACCGGACGAGTGGTTCTCGAATGGGACGCGGCGCATCCCGCCACCTTGCTTGGGTTGCAGGTATGCGGCGACACGGGTGGTTAAGAGGACCTTGTGGGAGGCCGGACAGGGTCGCCTTGCATGTAGTTTGGGGGTCTTGGGGGGTTCGTGGGTTGTTGTCGGACCCCCATTCGACCTTTCTTTGGGGCCCCTTTTGGCCGTTTGGGGGCGAGGTTGAAGGTTGCTTTGCCTGTTTTGGACGCTGTGAAAGCCGAGTAGGCGAGCGTGCGAAAAATGCTTGGTTTCCGAAGGGAAGGAACCGATTTCTGTAACCTGCGACCCTCCGGGGGCGCATCTTGGGGGCCCTTTGGGGCATCTTGGCAGCTTCGGAGACCGCCTGGAGGCCGTCGGGGGCGTCTAGAGGCGATATGTCGGCGAATCGTGGCCCCCGGGGACCGTCTGGGCAGCGTTTTGGTACCTTTTCGACCAGGTTGAGAGCCCTCCGCTCCCCCGTGGCGCGTTCGGTCCGGGGTCCGGCTGGGCGACGGGGGGGGGTCGAATTGCCAGTTTGGGGTCTTTGGGGGGGGGATTATTGGGGGGGCAATTTCACGCGCCTAGAGACCCGCAAAGGGTCGGCGGATTTTTGTACTCCCATATGCAAGCGGTGACACAACGCAAATATAAATTTCAGCACGATTGCGTACACTTGGAAATTGCATGCCGCCGCGAAATCGCGTTCGATTCTACAACAAACGTCAACTTTATACAGAGTTTTGTGTCGGGTGTGCGTGTCGTTCGCCAAGTGATCAGCATACGTCATTCACGAATCCAAGTGATCACCACCTTTTTTTGTGCACGACCAAACTTGGAATTCCCTCGCGTATGTCCTCACGTCCGTCCTGCGAATGTGTCTTGGCTTGGCCCATTGCTTATGCTACCCCAAAAGCCATCCACATATTGAGTGCCACCCCGTATATTTATGCTGAAAGGCTTCACCCACTCCTCCATCCCATGAGCAACAGAGATGTTCTTCGCACGATTGCCAATGATTCTCCGCTTGTTAACCAAGGCGTCGTACGTTGCAGCATAATCTGATGACAACACACCTAATTTGAAATGCGTCGTGGGAAAATTTCCCCTTCTTTCAAAAATGACGCAGGAAATACATTCGCGGGGGTGTGGGCGTTAGTTTTTTGATGCTTTCTTACAAATGTAGTCGACTTCGCCGTCGTTTGATTTCGCTTTTGGGGGGGCTTAACTTGAGGGGGGCATTCAATGTTTGAGTGTTTGTTATTTCTTGAGAGGCACTCATTTTTTGAATGCCCTCTTATGCGTTAGGATGGCGCTACCGTCGCCCGACCAGTGTTGTTTATGTTCAGTTTGTGTTGGCTAGCGTTTCAAGGAAGGTCGCAAGAAGCTTGAGCGTTGGCAGGTCTGCTCAGACCACGCCTTTCTTCTTTTTCTTCAGTAGGCGCTGCTTTCTGTCTAACACACAAAAGCCTTGCGTTCAGTTGTTGATCGCGGCGCGGGTCTTGGCGAACGTCTTCTTCATCGCTTGATGTGGCTGTGGTACAAAACCGTTTGTTAGTGTTTGTTGAAAAGAAACTTAAATTCCAGACGGTGGCAAATTTTCAAAGGAGTGCGGCCTCGTGCTTTTTGTGAAGCTCGTTGTACGACGACTGCAAATCGTCACCCTTGGCCGCCTGGGCGTAGAAGTTCCTGTAACGCGTATTGCTGCGCCTCCTGGAGAGGCGGCTGGGGGGGTACAATAGTAATGTGTTGTGTGTGTGTGTTTATTGGTGTTGTGTGTATGTAGCGATGCTCCTGGCTAGCAAGCATCATCGTAACGGCTGGGAGTTGTCGTGGTTCTTCCATCTCCCCCGGGGGTCGTTGTTTGCCCCGTCTTACGCGGCTCAAAGAATGGGGGTCAATGCAAACGGAGGTCATCCAGAGCACCGGATCCTGCAGGATCCTGCGAAGACCCCCTTCTGCCTGACCCGGGTTAGCGAGTCGCTCGTGGCCGCGAGGCGGCCGCGCATATTGGCTGACCCGGGTTTGCGAAGTTCTGCGTTGCGTTTTTTTTTTTTTTTCATGCATTGCAGTTTTGGGTTTTTTGCTGACCCGGGTCTGGATTAACCCGGGTCACAAAATCCCCGAGTCTTGCTGCGAGCTCCCGCGGGAGTTTTCTTTGACTGGGGCGACAGCGGCCCGCGCAGCCTTCAGCATGACCTCGCGGACCTCTGTTTTTTTTGTTGTTTCAAGAAGTTGTTCGCCCTATTGGTGGCCAAGCGCTCCTTTTTCGCTTGTCAGGATTTGGTTGGTTTGCTATGTTGTCTCGGTTTGTTTGGCTTTGTTGTATTTTTGGGGGGTGGGTGGGTGGGTCGCGTGCGTAATCCAGTTGAGCCTCAAGCTTCTCGTAATACTTTTTGCTCCCGTACGGCGGGTTCCCTATGGCAGTCTTTGAAAAGATGTCGAGGGTACAACTAGCGGCAACAATAATAGGAAAGCGAAATTGCAAAAGAATGTGAGGAGAGGCGGGAATAGTGAAGCGCATGAAAGCATCAATGGGGCCAGAGGACAACAAAAAGAACAATCGGGCGTCAGAGGATGACGGAATGAATGCAGGGACGGAGGTGGTTGGGAAAGTAAAGTAGAGAGAGGGAGGGAGGGAAAGGAAGGAGGAGGAAAGGTACGAAGAGAGAGGGAGAGAGAGAGAGAGAGATAGGAAGAGGTGAAGGATAACACAAAGAGAAATAAAGATATTGGACACACCGCCCACTCAAGCAATCCTCGCGGCCATGCTTGGTTAATACATCCACTGGTGCGCTGTGCTCGCATCGCAACGAAACCAGCCGAGCAGAGTTGTGGAGAGGGAGAGCTCGAGAGAGCGAGAAAGAGGAAAAGGTCAAGGATAACATCAAGAGAAAGAAAGAGAAAGCGAGAGAACAAGCTTGAGAACGTCTGGAAGGGGAGACGGCCTCCCCAGGGCCTTTTTCGATCCGACCGATCCGATTCGGCATCGATTTTG